AAATACAGATATACAGATTAAATATAAAATACAACTATACAAATAAGGTAAAATGTAAAAAAAAATTTAAAAAAATAATAAATAAAAAAAAAATAATATATATATATATATATAGCCTAATATAGCCTAATATAGCTAGTTATATAATTTTTTTTTTATATATATATTTATATTTGGTCTCCAGTACTGAGCATTTTAACACGCATCTTTTTCCTTCATGACAACATGAGTATAATCCATATTAAGCAAAAATACCCTAATGCTAGATTAAACCTTCAAGATTGATTGATTGATTGTTTCATTTCAGCAATTGCACACTCCATTTCATCTGGCAGTGAAGAACTGTCATATTCCAGTAATCCACACCTTACTTGAGGCTGGCTGTGATCCAAACGTAAAGGATCATGTGCGTTATCTCTTTTCATACATCATTTGTGAAATGATATTTATCACTGCATGCACGTGTTTCAGTAGTTTATTATTCATTCACCACACTCAGATGGGGCAGACTGCACTCCAAATCGCCGCTGAGATGGGAAAGGTGGATGTGGTGGAGATGATTCTGAAAGCTGGGGTGGATCTAGAGATTCAGGACAGGGTGACAGACCGACATTTTACACTGCCTGATAACGCTTTTAAAAGACCGTAGAGAAATAGGCAATTTGTGAGAAGTTATTTTTGTACTTTTTTTCTTTCACAGCAAAATAAAACCGCTCTTGGAGTGGCAGCGAGGGGAAATATGGTGATTATTGCGGACATGATCATCAAAGCTGAGAGATATTTCAGATGGAAGCACGATTTTCAAATGGTAGGCATTCAGATTTCCAATGTGGGTCAAAGCAGACCGTGGAATAAAAGGTATTGTGTTTTGTAAAGGAGTGGGAAGCACATTTTCCTCCCACCAAACGTCACGGCCTGCTATAACCTCTGTCGTTTTCTATTAAACCCAGTGCAGGAGGTGTAATGCAGTATTAAAACATGTATAATTCAATTCAGAAAGGTCACCACAGCACATTTATTTGCACGAGGGTTGCATATGTCAAAACTGATCATTCTGAATAACAGCAAACATAATATTCATTGTGCTGTAAATATACCTGTGCTAATTTCAGCACCTGGCTTCTGGCGAATCTGGCCTTTCTCAGAGCTGGATGTTATTTGATTACCCTTTCAGACTAATACAGATGCTATTGAGAGCCTGCACAGCGAATCACCACTGACGTTTAAATTAGATCACTCTCCTGACACAAAGCCGGTGCGCGATATAATATGGGACCTCGCATACAAACACCTCAAGCGCAATGACTGGAAGAAGTTGGCGGAGTTCTGGGAGTTCACAGATGATCAGGTGGCTGCCATCGAGGAGCAGTGGACAGGTCAGACAAGATGCTTTAGGATTAGATCTTTATATTCAAAAACACATCAAAATAAACCCCAAACAGGAAGTTCAACAACATCAATGTTAAAGGGTTAGTTCACCCAAAAATGAAAACTCTCCTCACCCTCATGTCGTTCCAAACCCATAAGACCTTTGCTCATCTTCAGAACACAAAATAAGATATTTTTGATGCAATCCGAGAGCTCTCTGATCCTCCATAGACAGCAACTAAACTGTAATGTTCCCAGGTTCAGAAAAGTACTGTATAAGGACATCGGTAAAATAGTCCATGTGACATCAGGGTTGAACCATAATTTTACGAAGATACAAGAATACTTTTTGTGCGCAAAGAAAAAAAAAACGACTTTATTCAACAACTCCTCATCCAGTCTTCCTGCAATGTGCCATGCGCTGCAGACAGGAAGAGGAGAAGTGTTGTTGAATAAAGTTGCTATTTTAGTTTTCTTTGCGCTTAAAAAGTTTTCTCGTAGCTTCGTAAAATTACAGTTGAATCCCTGATGTCACATGGATTATTTTACCAATGTCCTTACTACCTTTTTGGACCTGGGAACATTACAGTTGTGTTGCTGTCTATGAAGGGTCAAAGAGCTCTCGGATTTCTTAAAAAATATCTTAATTTTTGTTCTGAAGATGAACAAAGGTCTTACGGGTTTGGAAGAAAAGTTGAAAAGTTTTAAAGGTTGAGACTCATTTTATTTTGAAATGTACACTACTGCTTAAAAGTTTGGGTCAACAAGATTTTTTTTTTTCGGTTTTTAATTAATACTTATAAAATAGAAGTTATTTTAAATTGCAATTTATTTTAAAATATACTTTTAAAAACATTCAAAAATTATACCAACCCCAAACCTTTGAACAGTAGGCCTAATGTATTTATTATTAAAATGTTATTTTTAATAAAACTCAAATCTGTTCGACTATCATGCATATATTTATTTCTTAACTACATATAATTATGGTCAAATTATTATTTAAAAATTCCATTGGAAGAAAGGCAATCTAGACAATACATCTATAAAACATGTTATAGATAAATCTGAATCGGTGACACTGAATACAAGGCCCTTAAAGGGATAGTTCATCCAAAAATAAAAATTTGTCATTAATTACTCAACCCTGTAAGACGTCAAATTATTATTTAAAAATTCCATTGGAAGAAAGGCAATCTAGACAATACATCTATAAAACATGTTATAGATAAATCTGAATCGGTGACACTGAATATAAGGCCCTTAAAGGGATAGTTCATCCAAAAATAAAAATTTGTCATTAATTACTCAACCCTGTAAGACCTTCGTTCATCTTCGGAACACAAATGAATTTTTTTTTAAATTAACACTTTTTTTTTATTAATTGTACACGTATGCATCATGGTACTCTCGATGTCAGAGGATGGTGACGCGAAAGAGAAGAATTGTTGAATAAAGTCATTATTTTTGTTTTCTTTGCACACAAAAAATATTCTCATAGCTTCGGACTATTTTAACGTTAAAGTCCTTACTACATTTCAGTTACATTGCTCTCTGTGGACGGTCAGAGAGCTCTCGGATTTCATCAAAAATATCTTAATTTGTGTTCTGAAGATGAACGAAGGTCTTAGGTCGAAGGGTTTGGAACAACATGAGGGTGAGTAATTAATGACAGAATTTTCATTGTTGGGTGAACTATCCCTTTAAAAACTTGAGTATTTTGTTGTACTAGGTCCTAACAGTTTCCAAGAGCATGGGAACAGGATGCTTCTGATCTGGCTTCATGGAATCATGATAGAAGGGAGCAGCCCAGCCAAAGGCCTGTATGAAGCACTGCTTTCTGTTGGGATTACAAAGATTGCTGGTAGGATGTGTCCACAATTTCATTGTCTATTATCTTTGTTTGTGGACGTCCTGAGGGATGCGTTGCTAATACAAAAAGCAATATGGCTTTGCGACGTAAAAAATATACATTTATGCTTTCACAGTCTTTATAATGTCCCTTACAGTAAAATTAGCAAGGAACAAAATGGTGAAAAAATCTCATTCTATACATTTTTTCTCATTCCCAGAAAAAATAAGAATGGAAGGAACAAACAGTGATACACGGAAATGCACAGTTTCATGAATTCAAGATGCTACAAAGACTGCTATGAACTAAAAACAGCACTTTAATTTCTAATTGATCCAACAATTAACTTTAGTACCACCTGTGGATTAAGGTACAGTACAAACTAATACAGTAGCTGACTGATCTGAAACAATGAATCAGAAAAGTGTTGCAGATTTTGATTATGACTTTGTAAAACATTATAAAGTAAATGGTGATAAACAACTTTAATAAATTAAAGAAACCACATCATGTAATAAATAATGATTCTTCAATTAAAATCTTGGCAATTTCAGTATAAAACAACTTACCTTCATTTCATGTTATGAAAAAATAAATTACATTTAGTACTAAAAATGTATTCATCTAATTCAAAGCCTCTTATCAAATCAAATACTATTGAGTTACAATATCCAGACTCAAGGCCTGACAGATAAATGAACGAGTGTGTGTGTGTGTGTGTTAGTCCACAACTTTGATGGAGTGGATGTGAAAGGTGGAGGAGGAGGGGCCTCTGGGTTGGCTGGAGGAGCTCTTGCTACTGGAGACAGTCTGACTCTGAAGAGCAGAGCGAGGGAATTTAGCTGCTGTTGCCTGGCCGACAGTGAGCTGTAAATGGTGAAAAAAATAAATAAAAATTGAATGAACAGTATGTGTGTTTGATGTTTTGATATCATCACATGTACTTCGACATCTGTAGGGATGTTTCTTGATACCTGAGTGACAGGGTGGTGTCTTTCTACGACAACTGAACTCATGGGAGGAGCCACGCCCATGACATGCAGAGCTGCAGGGGGGCGGCCCGTCCGGTTATGCTCTGGCCGTCCCGTCAAACGAGCGGTCACTGTCTTGGAGGCTTTTTGCTTGCCAGCTGTTACTATCCGTGTGCTCGCCTAAAGAAGAGAATAGTAGTACCATTAAAAGTAAGCAGTTTTCAGAACATTCGATACACAAATATATAAATGTAATCACAAACATTTTGAAAAGACAGGTTAGAAACAGGTTGAGAGGGTTGATATAAAATATATTTATAAATATACTTGCAGTGAAATGTGGTACCTGTCTGAAAGAGCTTGTACTGCCCCCTGGTGGTCCGGAAGAATTCATCACCGTGGTTGAGAAAAAAGTTTCTGCTCTTGGGCCTGTGCTTGAACCAGGCTGAGAGACAAAATGTTCCTGAAGAGAGAGAGATAAATAAAAACAAGAATTTAAAAACATTATTCTGACCGATTAGACTGTCATGTGAAATTTTCTAGGAAATAAAACACAAAAAATGCTAAAACAAGCAGTTGGTCCTAAATGAAGTAATTGAGGTTAACTTGACAACTAAAGGGCATCTGTAAATACACTAAAAAGAAAACACTACAATCTCGTAATGATGTTCCATTAAGCTTGATATTGAACTGAAGAGCATTGCATACAGTGTATATCAATATGAAAGCAATAGTGCTAAATATGACTGCTGGGTTCAAAGCATTGTTTCTTGCACGTCTTACCGCCTCTACATCCTCTGTAATGCCCAGATGTACTGGACTCTCCATGACAACTGGACTGAGCCGTGATGACGAGACAGTCCGTGGAGGGTGATTGGCCATTGAGCTGGTGCTTGGCTCGTCCCCTGGAAGTGGAACATCTACAAAGAAAAAAAAAAATAATAATAAATGAAGGCTAGAGTCATGATACTGCATAAGGTTTGATCTTTGGAAATTATTTCGCAAAATAAAAAAAGAATATGGTACCATGTACATGAAGATATTAACAGCCCTGCTTTAATTTGAATTATTGTTTCAGATACGATTTCATTCTTTTAATATCAAATTCTGTCTCACACTCTCTCTCTGATGCTCATTGCCTTCAAAAAATAAATAAATAAATAAAATAAAGGAATAGTCACAATGAAATTTTGGTAAAATTTCACAGGAAAAAAAGGTCCATTATCTGATATCAACAATGCAGCAATGTATAAGGCACAGCTCACACAGAAATAACTTTCAAACCAAGCAGCTTTTTTGTGAATTAGTACTGCAATTAATTTTTTTTTTATTTTAAAAAACAAGTTTCCTAAACTTATAGTTGGCTTATAGTTGTCTGCACACCCGGAATAAGTATTTTAACACAGAAAAATATAAATCGACCTGTTGATTACAGAACCGGCTTTTTTAACAAAATGCGCATGACAATCGCATTCGATTAATCGTGCAGCCCTAATCGACACACTTCAACCTTTAACATTTGTCTACCTTTACTGCTTGTTTAATTGTATATACAGTATGAGCTACATTTGGGACAACAGAAGGGAAAAAGGTTGATTATGATGCAGGAATATTAAACGTTTGATAAGTAAAGCCAGAGGCTAGAAAACCATTACCGCAATCAATCTGATTTAGTTGCCATATAAAATGACATGCCTAGGGTGTATTCAGTTATTTAGAAATGACCTTTTGTCAAATCCTCGGTTTTTAACAGTAATGTGAAGAGGTTTTACGACATTTTTTTGCATATCAAGGGAAATATCTGAGTATCTGTCATAATGTACACTTCAAGAATGTAACAATTAGTCATGTTAAACTGTTACATCATGCCTTAAATGTGATCATTGCCACTGTAATTGAGCTAAACCCATCTATCATCTTACCACGGTCCAGTCTACCCGCTTCTCCAGTGTTGAACATGCTAAGGGCCTCGATGTTGAGAGCACAGACCCCACGCATGAAAGCTTTCTTCATAGAGTCCTCATAGCGCTCTCGCTCCGTGTGCAGCCTGTGGATTTCAGCTTGAGCTTTCTGGAGCTCCTCTACATACTGACAAACACAATCACAAAACTTTCAAGTAATGTCCAAATCCAGTAACCTATTAAACATGGAATCAATCACACTTTCAGTAAAATTGCGGTATTGGCTCCAATCACCTGTGCCATCTTGGTCTCGTAGTCTGTAGAGAGCTGCATGCAGACGTCCTCTGATCTGGCACAACATGCTCTCTCCACACGCTCCCGCCACCTGTTCTGGATGAGTGAGTGCCAGCCTGCCCACACCTTCCTCTTGAGCTGCAAATGATAGTGCTGCTCCGCCAGTCTGCCCCCCTGAGCCTGAAACACACAGAAATACATGAACATTTATATTTTATTAAAAAAAAAAAATTAATTAAATGTTTTTTGAAAGAAGTCTTATTATTTGATAAAAGTAAAACAGTAATTCTGTGAAATATTTTTACAATTTAAAATAACTGTTTTCTATTTTAATATATTTTAAAACGTAGTTAGTCCTGTAATGGAAATGTTGAATTTTAAACAGCCATTACTCCAGTTTTCAGTGTTACATGATCCTTCAGAAATCATTATAATATGCTGATTTGCTGCTCAAGAAACATTTCTTATTGTTGAAAACTGACTGAAGAATTTGAATGAAGCCAGGTAGTGTGTATATAAAAATAACAATAAAAAACTTTCAACTTCTTTGTTGAAGATTTACCAAAACACAAATAGGCTTTTGAAATATATTTATTAATCCCAATCTGTGTTGGTAGTAACTAGTTACAGTAATAATATTACTTTGTGCAGTAACTAGTAGTGTAACTAATTACTAATATGATTTCAGTAATAATATTTGGTTACACTTTACGTATTTTAAGGTGTCCTTGTTAAAGTGTAATTATACATTTACGTACTGAGTAATATTAATTAACTACATGTACTTACTACATGGTTAGGTTTAGGATTAGGGTTTAGCTTAGGGTTACTTGCATGTAATTATGCATAATTTATTGTTATTATAATAGTAAGTACACGTAACGTGTAACAAGGACACCTTAAAATAAAGTGTTACTTCAGATATCATCCATAAAACAGCTAGTTACCTACTTACTTTTGATTACTTAACCCCTACTGATTTGAAGTCCAACAATCCAATAATTCCTATATTTATTTCCATAATTTTCATGACTCATGAACACGTGAAGTTGCTGCGGGCAAGCTTGGAATATGAAAAAGCTTACATTCAACAAATGGAAATATTGCCATTACATTGATTTTGTGAGAAGAAAAGATTATCTCAAAACCAATGTGTGGCATTACTTTACTCTGACATTACGTGGCTTACTCACCCACATCCCTCTGATCCTGATATAAATTGTATTGCTATAATTAAAAATCTTTTTAGAAAACGAAACATTTTCTTACGAACTTCTGCTATTTCTTTTGATAAAACACATTATGAAATATAATTGTATTATGGGTAACAGAAAAATTATAGCTTCAAGCTACACATGACAATTAATGAAGTTAATACATCACTTAAAAGTCACCACTATCAGTCACCACTAAGTGTTTGTAATAACTTCTGACTGCAATCCAGTGTGCATTTTGGTCAAATGATGAGGCAGAAATACTGTATATTGTTAGTAACATTTCAGAACTATCCTTTTAAACGCAGATAGGCTTGTGAAACTGCAATTTCTCCAAGAAAAGAAAATGAATACAAAACACAAACCTGTCTGAAGTATAAATCTGACGGGAGTAAACAACGCTGTCTGAAAAACATCTGCCCTGTGTGTGTGTGCTGTCAGTCTGAGCTGCCCCGTCTCACCTCCTCTCTGGCAGCACACTGCTGTAGTCTCCACTGGGTGAAACTCCTCATCAGCTCCAGCTTCTCCCTCTGCCTGTCAACCGCCCTGCTCAGATTCACGATCACCTGCAGATGGCAAAGGCCAAGGAGGAGATGACAGACTGGAAAACAGAGACTTACAGCCTGTGAAAAACTGACACAGAGCAACATTTTGCACCCCATACACTGAATTTCAAAGCTTACATTTAACATTTACTAATTACTTACATTTACTTTAATACATACTACAGGACCAGCCTATTAATTATCAATATCTGTGTGCACCTCATCTTTTCTCTGGTTAGAGATCTTGTAGGTGTTGAGCAGGTCTTTCAGACCATCCATTTCAGCATTTACAGCAGCCATATGGGCTGCATGTTTCTCCCTCTCCTTCTTAAGCTGCAGTCTGTGCTGCTCCACAAAGGCCAGTTTCCATTTCCTCAGCTCCATCATCACATTACTCTGTACACAGACCAAAAAACAGTTCCTATAATGCATTATAGTATGAAGAAAAACACTACTTACCAGTGTTATTTTAATATCACTGAAATACTATTATTGTTTCATATTTGAAATGTTTTTTTCATTTAAATTTTTAGTAATTTTGTTGTTTATATATATTTTTTTTTTATTTTTTATTTTTTTTAAATATGCCTATATATTTCTATTATTTT